GTGTGTGTGTGTGTGTGTGTACTTGTGTGTGTGTGTGTTCATGTAAGGTCAGATTTGATTACCTTGTGCGGCTCTCCAGAGATACAGCACACACAGATAAGAGCTCCCAAACTCACAGAGCTCTCAGCGGCACACCAAAAATAATGTTGGACACGACTGTGTATGATTTGCAGTTTTTGTGAATCTTATTCGAGCTGAAGCTGATTTGCCAAACTTTCAGATTTGACACTAAACTAAAAAGCATTATGAATCACCAACAAAGATCTGTTTCCAGACTGAAGGCTTGTTCACACAAACAAACACCAGCGCTTCAGTCAGCAGCAGCAGTCGACCGAGAGGGATTTTATGATGGCCAGTGCTGATATCAGAGAGAGCCAGGTGGATGATGATGACCGATAGAAAGCTGATGTATCAGGGTGTGTTTGCACGACAGCAGTGGACTAAAAATGGACGCTGTTGGAAATGAACCCCATTCACACTGATCTGTGAGAACGACTAAAAGGCTAGGCCAGTAGCTGGCAATGTCACTTTGGAAAGAAACTCACACATGCATATAGACTAAACATGTAATTTGCATGACGTCACCATTTTCACAAATTAGCATTTTTGTAGTTAACGCGGACATAATCACTGTTTTCACAATCACCACAATTTTCAAAAACTGGCACTTTGAACTCCATTTTCAAGAGTTTGTGTTTTCAGACTCCCCAACAGCCAGAGCACACAACACGTTTTCCGTTTTTAGTTGAGACCAGTGTCATGTAAACACCGCCTCATATTACATTTGGAGTCACAGAAATTACAATATAGCATCTTTTCAATTCTGTAATCCCATTATTATATTTTTCACAAATGAAGAAATTATAATTATATATAATTATAATTTTAATTCTATAATACTTTTTCATTTACCATTTAGTTTTTTGTTTAACATTTCTGTCTTGTAATTTATTAACCAGAACTGTTAAACACAGACAGTGAGCTAATGAAGATGGAGCTCCTGTGTGTCTGTGTGACAATCTCAGCGCTGTCAAAATAAAAGTCCCGCTTCTGTCACTTATTGGCCAAACAGAAAATGTATTGGCCGATGTTGATAATTAAAAAATGGCACATACTGACAATTGTCAATTCAAGTTAAATATGGTTGAGAATTGTTAATTAAGGTCTTGGACACCAAGAGCGAGACAAATTGTAGATGAAAGGCCTGTTCACACCAGGAGCAAGACAATATTGTCAAACTGAATGAAAACCAGCTTCACTCCAGTTCAATAGATGGGGCTAATTAACAACCAAATTGACTCCAGTGCATTAGATGGCTGTAAAAATTGGCTTTTTTACCCCATTTAGGCAATGGCCATTCTGGAAACATGTCACAGTTGCACTGGAGAACCAAAAAAACAGCTCTGCACGGTGCCTTAAAACTGCTGCTGTGAACACCAGCAGCTTCTGACCATGTAAACCATATGAGTACACTGACGAAAAAAAGGTTGATTGGTTATATACTTAACTCATATGAGCATTATAAGCAGCGCATAATGGTATAAAGATTAATTAAACAAATTTGGAAATGTGAAAAGCAAAGGCCATGATAGGGCATGCTTATTTGTGGGCAGGTTATGTTGTAACAGTTTTGGCATCATTGGCTCTCAGGCAGTGGATTTGTGGGCTGTTACTCAGAGATTACTGGCCATGCACCAGCACCGTTTCACTGGAATTGAGTTCCTGAAATAGCAGCTGGCGCTTTGCTTTTTAAATTGGGTGGAAGACAAACAAACAGGCCATCCTGAATGTACATTGTTCCTCGATGGGAAGCACTGGTGGATTAGAGGTGAGACGGCTGATAACTGATCTCTCCAGCACAGATCCTGACCCCAGGCCCACAGGAGAGAGACAGGAGATGAGGCTTCCTGAGGAAATGCCTTCAGAGAAACACAGACATTCATTCTTCATGCTCACAAATCAGTGTCTGAACCGGTGATTAAAGAGCGAAAACAACATAAAACTTACTTGAGGAGTTGCTTCAGGATATTATTTTAGAGCATATGTGACCCTGGAGCACAAAAGCAGTCTTAAGTCGCTGGGGTATATTTGTAGCAATAGCCAACAATACATTGTATGGGTCAAAATGATTGATTTTTCTTTTATGCCAAAAATCATTAGGATATTAAGTAAAGATCATGTTCCATGAAGATATTTTGTAAATTTCCAACCATAAATATATCAAAACTAAATTTTTGATTAGTAATATGCATTGCTAAGAACTTAATTTGGACAACTTTAAAGACGATTTTCTCAATATTTAGATTTTTTTTGCACCCTCAGATTCCAGATTTTCAAATAGTTGTATCTCAGCCAAATATTGTCCTATCCACAAAAAAAGTATGCATCTAACCGTTCAGTAAAGCTTGGACAACAAGGCTTCTCAGTGCAGTGATTTGCTTGGCTGTTTGGCCTGTCAGTTATTTATCTGTAGTAGGGTCAATTTATTGTCTCAGTGATTAAGAAAGAGTTGTTAGGAAAGTTTTTCCCAGATTGACTTCACAAGAATCGCACGCTGAAGCTGGTGGCTGGTGAGAAGAATGTGTGAGATGTGAGATCTGGACTGTAGATGTTCAAAGAGTCAAACATAGTGCACGAAGTGATTTAAAGCATGCATTGATTGATTGGATGTTGTAAATGTATGCATCGGCTGATGTGTTGCTTCTCAGTTTTTTAACTGTATTTGAAGTGTGTCTCAAAGGCTTTCTGATGCTCAAGCAGATCAATGTTATGAAAGCATCCCAGTGTTTTAATGTGACTCTGCAAGATTTAAGAACGTTTAATAGCCAGAATCTGTTTCAGGCGAGAATAACAGTCACTGGAGAGGCTGTTGTTGTGTTTTGGCCTGTGATTTGATGGATGATTCAATTAACACCAGTCAGTTATTGTTGTTGTTGTAAACAAGGCTCACAGTACACAGTGATATGAGTATCAAATCAATTAAAGCTTATCAAATAAAGCTGCACAATTAAACAAGTAATGGAGATAATGATGCAGTTCATCGTGAAGTGTTGATTGCTGCGCTGCTTTCAGATCTACTTCTCTTGTATCAGTGGATTGTGTTTATAACGTGTTTTTGCTCTAGTTGAGCAACGAGTGATGTGATGACAGCGGAGAATCAGGCTTTAAATGAGTGTCAGGAACTACAGCTGCTCTTATTCTAATCACCCAGGAGTAGATGTGGCGATTTTCAACATTTAATCATCACAATTACAGTATCAAGGGAAAGAATCAATCAAGCAATGCCATTATTGTTATGCTTGTGGAGCTGTAGGATCAAAGCCGTGGTAATTGTGGAGAAATCTACAGAACATGATCTGGAGACCGCTAATCAGTGGATCTGATGTGAGTGAGACGGTGAATCAGCAGCGTCTCGTCCTGCTTCATCACCCCATCTGTGTGATTCTGATGGTTTATGATGCTCAGATTGTGAGGAAATCACTTCAGGCTGCTAAATATGTTGTTTATCTTGCAGATCTTCTGCAAAGCAGGCAGCGTGCCACTCGGACAAGTACGTGTTCCTCCCTTCATGTCTCTGTGTAGTGTACTTCAACCCCTCACTACCCTACTACTGAGGGACTAGACGCAGATTCACCCCACTGTGTTTGCAGTAGTCAAAAACCGTCATCTTATTCATTATTTGAGGGATGCACGATATATCGCTGACCAAATCAGTATTTTAACTTCTGGTTCGGCTTGATATGCTGGAAGCAGATATTATCACAGCTTATTGTGTCTGTTTTAGCCAACAGTGAGCCAGGTTACAGAAGTACTGTAGGAGGCACAACATGTGTGAAAGTAATGTTTTGCTTCCTGATTTAAGCAAGTACAAGTCTAGATTGTTGATCCAGTCTAATATACAAAATGGTATATATTTATGATATTGTCAAAATTACAGTAAATTATTTTACTGTCAAATTTAAAACAAATGTACTAAACATTATGACAATTATATATCAGTATATATATATTTAAAGAAATTAATACTTTTGTCCATCAAGGATGCATTCAATTGATCAAAAGTGACATTTATAATGTTACAAAAGATATCTATTTCAAATAAATGTTGCTCTTTTCAACTTTCTATGCATCTGTGAATCCTGAACAATAACATGCATCACAGTTTCCACACAAATATTGTGCAGCACAACTGTTTTCAACATTGATAATAATCAGAAATGTTTCTTGAGCAGCAAATCAGCATATTAGAATGATTTCTGAAGATCATATGACACTGAAGACTGGAGTAATGATGCTGAAAATACAGCTTTGATCACAGAAATAAATTACAGTTTAACAGATATTCACATAGAAAACAGCTATTTTAAGCTGTAATAATATTTCACATTTTTACATTTTTTTATGGTATTTTTGATCAAATAAATGCACCCTTGGAGAGCAGAAGAGATGTCTTTCAAAAACAAACAAAATCATACTTTTTCCAAACAATAATGTGTTTATCGGTTCTCAGCAGAATTATTACTGGCATCAGCCCAAATGTCAATATCTGTGCATCCCTACATTATCCCTGTTGATATTCCTGTTTATATCAATCTAATGATGAACTAAATATCTGAAGGCTGAGAAAGAGCTTTAGTTGTGATTGTGACGGTCCTCATTCACACCTGTAACCTGAGGCAGACGTGTGTGATCATCAGATCTGTGTGTGTGTGTTTATTGATTCCTCTGTGTGTGTGTGTGTGTGTGTGTGTGTGTAGGTGTTAAGAAGGCCCCGGCGCCGGACGATGAGGAGTTAGTGAGTCTGAGTAAGCGGCTGGTGGAAGATGCTGTGTTGCGGGCCGTGCAGCAGTACATGGAGGAAACTCAGCAGAACGGCGCTGCGCCGAGAGACCAGGCTCCACCGGGGGCCGCCAGCAAACTCAACACCACCAAATGAGCGCGAGCGCCCTGAGCCGTCCCCCGAGCCGACCGCTGGAGAGCCACGCCTCCACCTGCCAGCGGCGCCAGAGCGCAGCCGAGAGCGATTGAGCTGAAGAGAAGGGCTGTGGAGATCAGGCCGGATCTCTGGACAAACACAACACTCAATCTGAACTTTATTTCCCTGCCTTCCCCGTCCTGCATCACTCCTGTCTGTATGAATTGGTAACACTTTATTGTGATGATCCCTTTTGAGCATTCTGTTGATTAGGGCTGGGAAAATAAATCGATGCATCGCGAATCGAGAAATGATTCCGCATCGATTCTGAGATTTTCTGAATGCATCGCGATTCTTTCTCGAGTTGATCCTGAGCTTAGTTTTGAACGGCAGATGGCACTGCATGCTTTAGAAACAGCCGGATTCTGCTTGTTTTCAAATCCTTGCACACACTCGAACCTAAAATAATCATTCATAAAATTCGAAAAGGTTGAAGCGAATCACAAGGGTGTTCACAGTGGACTGTGTTTACATTAATCTGGCGTCATAAAAGCATTCTGAGCCGAGGTGAAATTACAGACTCAGCGAACGCACAAGTGCTCTTCAGTGCTCTTCTTCATGAGCGCTTGAGTGTGCGGATGAAAACTAGAGTAGAGCGCCATCTGCTGTTAAAATCTAAGCTCAGAATCGATTCCAGAGAGAATCACGATGCTTTCGGAAGATCTCAGAACTCCAGAATCCTCAGATTCTGCATCGATTTATCGTCGCAGACCTACTGTTGACTATAAGTAGCTTTGAACCTACAGGTCACCTAACTCTCATTAGAGTATTAGTAGACTGTCTGCTTAATGTCTGATATCTAGTGCTGTCAAACGATTAATCGCAATTAATCGCATTCAAAATAAAAGTTTCTGTTTACATAGTATATGTGTGTGTGTATATTTATTATGTATATATATAAATACAAACACATGCATGTATATATTTAAGAAAAATGTTACATTTATATATGAAATATATTTATAAATAGTATAAATTATAGGAATGTAAATATATACATGTAAATATTTTCAATATATATACTGTGTGTGTGTGTGTGTGTGTGTGTGTCTTTATATACACATAATAAATAAACACAACACACACACATATATTATGTAAACAAAAACTTTTATTTTTTGGCAACACTGCTAGTGATAACTCTTTATTGTGATGGTGTCCCAGCAGACATTCTTCTGACTATATATAACTTTGCAAGTACATGTCAACTTATCCTAACCCTAACCCTACCAGTCTACTAATACTCTACTAACACTCCAGTGAGAGTTAATTGATATGTAGGTGCAATGTTGCTTATAGTCAATGGAATATGTTAAAGGGAGCATCAAAATAAAGTGAAACCTTTGACTTTATTTGTGACGGATCCTTCAGAGAACACCGCTGTAGTGTCCGGAGGCGCTTGAGTCAGTCAGTGTTGCTTTGTCATCTTCACATCTGACAATCCCAGCGAACTGCTCAGTCTGACTGCTCATGAACTGCAGGCCTGAAGCCCGATCCAAAGCCAGAGCCGTCAGAACCGCTGTTCGATCTGCTGTGTTTGTGTGTGTGTAACCCTGCATACGTGTGTGTCAGATGATGGTGTGTGTGTGTGTGTGTGTTGTTTGTGCCGTAGGGTGTGCGTTTGCTCAGAGCAGAATGGATCAGGAAAGAGAGTGCAGGCGGACGCAGGTAGAGGCCATAAAGACACTGTTAGCACAGGAAAACATTCGAGCTACATTCGGCCGTCAGAGGAAGTCCACACTGAAGCTCATGGACACACACAACCATCTCAAAGTAAATCACACACAGACCTTCACCAACGTGCAAACCAGCAGAACATCTCTCTCACACACATACATTAGTTCATACTGACACGAGGCCGGCCTGAAGTAAGCTTAATGTATGATTTTTGAGGGAATTAAAATGTATATGAGCTGATTTGAGCGTTTGATGTCTGTAATGCTTCAGATAAGCAGCCACAGTGACCTTAGAGAAATCACACCTTGTTACATTGCTGAAGAACATGCCCTTTCAGTTTCGTTTCATTCACAGATGCGCATTTTCACCAAAATGTGTCTTTTTATGCTCCCTGTCCTGATCTTTCTTGAGTTCGGCCGTATTGATGCCGACGCACTGTGATGTCATCGTCTAACGTTTGGTTTCCCACTTTTTTTACTCTTGAAAATAAAGGAGGAGATGACAGCGAGTGGACGTGACTCATTCTCTCCGCGGCTCTGTGTTAATGATGGAGGGGGAGGTTGTTCTCATGCTGTAGATCAGTCTTGTGTCTCAGAGTCATGTTGGCAGGGTTTTTCTGAGAGCAACGCCTCCGACTTTACGTTTGACTATTTTTCTCTCATCCTCTGAAATAAGCATATTGCCTGGCGTCTGCTGAGCGTGAGAGAAATCAAAGCACAAGCCTCGACTCATCCGAGGCTCTGGAGTTCTGACACGAGATCGAGAGGTTTATTCGAGGTGAAGCCGTCACTGGCAGAAACGACATTGAGTTTCTTAAGCCCTATTTGGTAATTATTTCTGTAGAAGAATGAGTGCATGGATAAAACTCAGGAATTCAGATGCCAAATAATTCACTGAGGACAAGTTTTTAGGACTTAAAAAAAAAAGAAGAAATCTGATGAATTGGACGTTCACTTCTCTCATGGTGAATTCTCCACATAATATGTATATAATATACAGTTTGTGTCAAATGTTTTATGTAAAACTAAAATTGTCAAATTAAAACAACTGTTATTTATTGAGAGTCATATAAACGTACACTTTATTTTTTAAAGAAATTAATACTTTTATTTATGTTACAAAATATTTCTATTTCAAATAAATGCTGTTCTTTTGAACTTTCTATTCATCTGTGAATCATGAGAAATAACATGCATCACAGTTTCCACACAAATATTGTGCAGCACAACTGTTTTCAACATTGATAATAATCAGAAATGTTTCTTGAGCAGCAAATCAGCATATTAGAATGATTTCTGAAGATCATGTGACACTGAAGACTGCAGTAATGATGCTGAAAATACAGCTGCGCATCACAGGAATACATTACAGTTTAACAGAGATTCACATAGAAAACAGCTGTTTTAATGTTAAATGGTCATGTTGCTTATAAAGGCTCCTTTGAACAGTTCACATGATTCGCCTCTTGAGGTGTTTTCTTTCTTTCTTAAAATCTGTGCTGACGATCTCTCCAAAACAGTCCTTCATTACACCCAAAATACACAAACGCTTACAGTGACACAGCACACAGAGCTCAAATGGAAGAGGATGCCAGACCATGTAAAAACAGGACGCAGTTTGGCCCAGAAGTTTTTTCCTGAGACATGGGAGGAAGGTTTTCAATTCAAGCCACAATTAAATCACCTGTCCACTGCCCGTGGGAGCTGCGTGAAGTCCCTCTGAGAAATAATCTCCATCTCTAACAAGGGCTGGAGCCCACGAGTGTGTCAGAAGAGACTGTAGAGTGAGTGTTAGAGCTGTCATAGCTGCTATTACAGTCATTCTGAATGTGTATGGTCCATTCTCTGCCTGATTTTTATGGTTTCATTTGAAACGGTTTCTTCTGAACTGTCAATAAATCACTGACTGAAGGCTCGAAGTACCACAGAGCAGCTCTTCCCAAAAGAATATACAGTCTGATGTGTGTAAAATTTGATACATTGTGTAATAAATCACACAATTCAATAAAAAAAACAAAAAAACAATTTACATTAATACTGTTAATATGTATTATAATATGTGACCCTGGAGCACAAAAGCAGTGTTAAGTCGCTGGGGTATATTTGTAGCAATAGCCAACAATACACTGTATGGGTCAAAATTATAGATTTTTCTTTTATGCCAAAAATCATTAGGATATTAAGTAAAGATCATGTTCCATGAAGATATTTTGTAAATTTCCTACTGTAAATATATTAAAACTTAATTTTTGATTAGTAATATGCATTGCTAAGAACTTCATTTGGACAACTTTAAAGATGATTTTCTCAATATTTAGATTTTTTTTGCAGATCTTCAAATAGTTGTATCTCAGACAAATATTGTCCTATCCTAACAAACCATACATCAATGGAAAGCTTATTTATTTATTAATCAATTTTATAAAATTGACTCTTATGACTGGTTTTGTGGTCCAGGGTCACATATGTATGTATAAATTCACATTTCTCTTTCAAAACATGTTTTGTGCAACAATCATTTGAAGTGTTTTGTGGCTGAAGATCAGTTCAAACAGAGCTTTACAGTAAACATTACAAAACAGCACATTATTACAGTCAGTGTTCAAAGAAAATTTGGCTGCTGAAAATTCAGCCTCGCATCAGTAATAAATTACATTTTACAATATATTCACATTGAAAAGTTATAAATTGTAATCCTATTTCACAATATTACAGTTTTTACTGCATGTTTGATCAAACAAATGCAGCCTTGGTGTTTGGATGTTTTATAAAAATGAATTTACATATGACGGCTGATACTGTGTACTTTTCTATCAAGACCAATATATGTTCTTTAAAAACTGATCACTAGAACAATTGATAAGAGCTGAACGTTTAGGCCGATGTAAGTGTAAATATGGTGAAATACTGATGAACAGAAACTTAAACCACTCAAACCACACGATCAAAACATGCTGTGTGAGGTCAGAAAGATGAAGCCACTGTTTTAATGCCACGAACTGAACAGAGAATGAAGGAACAAAGATAAATTGTGCATGATCTGAGCTCTTAATTGAACCAAAGGTCAGTTTTCTGTGAGCAATACTCAACACAAAGCGTGACTTTGGTACAAACTACTGTATATCTAATCATAATCACAGCTGCCATAAACACATACTGATGCATTAATGAGTATCTGTCCTCTGTCAGCATCATAAACTCATTGATTCTAATCTTCAGTCAGTGTGATTCACAGCTGAATTATGATACATGCAACTAAACATTTATGGTTCCACCTTTGAACGAAGATGTGAGTTTGATGTCAGGTTGTTCTGGAGAATCTCTGGCCTCAGCCTATTATTAATATCCATCTCATGTTGCACTTCCACTGGCACGAAGCGAGCATTTTCAATTCATTCCTATGGAAGTTGAGCTTAAACGCTCACGTGGTGCATTATGGGATTGAAAGAGTTGAGCGGCCGAGAGCGGCAAAAAGGTTGGGCATTCCTCGACTTTATGCAAATATCAAACGGAAAACGCCGACAACCAATTGATGTGAAAAGTAGGCAAGGCAAGATTTTGACGTATGTTATTGTTTCCCAGTGTTTGCTGAACTG